TTATTTATTATAAAAACGAAAAGAAAGGGAGAAAAAAAAAAGATATTTCTTTTGTCTATTTTTCTTTTTTCTTTCTTTTTTTTTTTTTTTTACTTCCATATTTCTTCAATCATTTCAATTCCTTCATTTTTCTTTCATTATCCCAATTTTTCTCTTTTTTTCTTTTCCACCTCCTTATTATTATTTTTAGTAACATTCTTTAATTTTTACAATTTTCCTTTCTTTCTTTTTCAATCGATTTCAAAAAAAATTAAGTTTATTTTCATACACCAAATTACTATTATTATTTTTTTTTATTATTTGTAATTCTTTGATAATTTATTCATGTCATTTTTATTCCATATTATCAATTTTCCTTCTTTCTTTTCCTCTAAACATTTCGTTTCTTCAATCTTTTCATTTTTTTTTTTCCTCTTTGCAATTACTCCTAATAATATTTTTCAATTTTACAACTTTCTTTTCTTTCTTTTTCAATCGATTTAAAAATTAAACTTATTTTCATACGTAGAGTTATTGCATCATTTTTACTATTTATATTTCTCTGTGTATTATTCGCTATTTCTTCTATATTTTCAATTTTCCTTTCTTTCTTTTTTTCCCCCCTACTTTTTTTCTTTCTATGCAAAAAAATAATTAATTAACAGCTACGAATTAGAAATTAAAAAGAGAGGCATGAAATTTTATTAAAATTAAGTTTTCAATTACATACCACAAAAAAAAGATTAATTAATGCAAAATGCATATTATTAAATATAGTGCCATATTTTGTCATATTAAAAATTTCGAACAAATTAACTGATTAATTAATTAATTACATGATAATGAATTTGCCATGTTAATTATGCATGTACATTGTATAATAACATACACGCTTATATTCTGTTTAAATTTTTTAACAGTAGGATAAAATAATTGTTAAAATGAGCAACGACAATAAAAATAATAAATGAAAAAATGAATAACTTTTAATGATATGATAGGACATGATCGACTAATTAATTAACTCATTTCTTTTTTCAAAAGCTTCCGAAAACTCTAGATTGATAATTTGGAATGACCTTTTTCTTTTCAAAATTCAATATTAATGATGCAAAAAATGAATGGATTAATTTCTCACAAATTATGCAAATTAATCAAATTATGGAAAAAATTACGATGATAATTATAGGAAAAAATAAGAAATAAATCATCAATAAAAAGCCCTAAACTTTTAAAAAAAATTCGAACTTTAAAAATTTAAAAAATTTAAACTTTAAAAAAACAAAATGATAATTATATTTAATTATCATCGTAATTATAGCATTCCTATTTTTTTTTTATTCCATTTAGTTTCCTTATTAGTAAAAGTATTTTATCATTTTTTTAGTTTATTTTGATTTAATTCATTTCCATCTTATCAGTCGAATGTATCAATCAATTTATATCAGTTTCCTTTTTTTTTTCTTTTTTTTTTGTAATTAGACGGAATGTTTTGAAAATTAATTTTTTCTAAAAATAGAAATATTGTCGAAAAAAATCTTATTCATTAATAACAAAAAAAAAAAGAACAAAAAAAT